TGTGTGTGTGTGTGTGTGTGTGTGTGTGTGTGTGTGTGTGTGTGTGTGTTCTGTATGTGTGATGGGGAAGGAGGAGGAACCTTGTGGGTATGTCTAGCAAGATATGCCCTCCTTCTTCCCTCCCTGATGCTGTTTAGTAGGGAAATACAAGGAACCATAAGAAGCCATAATTATATCCCCTAACCCATTGCTGCCACATGGATTCCGACTCTTAGCCATCCTATAGGATGGAATACAACTACCCCACGGGTTTCCAATGCTAATCATTCGGGAAGCAGAGTGCAGCATCTTTCTCCAGAGGCAGGACTGGTGGCTTTGAACTCCTGACCTCTCTCAATTATCAGCCAGGATTAATCATCGGCCCACCAAGGTTTCTTCTTACTCTCTATAGCTGTCTGTGCTGTTTGGGGGTGCTAAAGAGGTCAAATGACAACACTAGGGAAGAGGAACGGGGTGGAAGGGATGAAGAACTACGGCATAGTGTAAGGGGCTCTTTGCCCGACTTTTCCTTCTCCCTTCCTTGCTCATTGTCCTCTCCTTTTCCCACACTTCCCAAGTCCACCATAGGAAAGAATAAGGGAAAGTGGGGCAGGGGGCAGAGGGCGGGGGGTGTTGTACGTGACCATCCCTGCTCAGTCTGCTATCGTTAGATGAGAGTATCGGTTGAGAAATGTGTACAGAAAACAGTGATGTACTGCTGAGCAGACAGAATCACCTGGTGGACCCTCACCTTGGGTCGTCCATGTCCTCTTCAGCGTAACCAGCGGTTCCGTTTCCATGACGACAGGAAGATGTGTACCTCGGGAAATTGCTCTTAAGTATGTCTTTGAAGAGTGGGGAGGGTTTAAAAGAAGCATGCTGTTCTGCCCAAAGATGGCACTTCATGTGATGCTAGGAAAGCATTTTCTAAATGGATGTGTGTGTAGGATGTGTGCGTTGCTTTGTTTTTCCTTTGGCATAAGAAACGAAGAAGACGAAAATAGAGCAAAAGAACAGGTTTGGAAAACAATCAGGTTAAAACCGCCCCGTGAGCGTGGGGGTTCGTGATCCTGCTCGAGGAGGAGCTGATGGCGAGAACGAAGCGACTGGGCCTGTGTTTGGGGGGGAATTGCTGGTCAAGTTTTTCTTTTTCTTTTTTAAAATCATTTTATTGGGGCTCATACAACGCTTATCACAATCTATGCATACATCCATTGTGTCAAGCACATTTGCACATTTGTTGCCATCATCATTCTCAAAACATCTGCTTTCCATTTGAGCCCCTGGCATCAGCTCCTCATTCTTTCCCCCTCCCTCCTCATTTCCCCCTCCCTCATGAACCTTTGATAATTTATAAATTATTATTATTTTGTCATATCTTACACTGTCTGACGTCTCCCTTCACCCAGTTTGCTGTTGTCCATCCCCAAGGGAGGAGGTTATAGGTAGATCCCTGTGATCGGTTCCCCCTTTCTACCCCACCTACACTCCACCCGCCTGGTATCGCCACTCACACCACCAGTCCTGAAGGGGTCATCTGTCCTGGATTCCCTGTGCTTCCAGTTCTTATCTGTACCAGTGTACATCCTCTGTTCCAGCCGGATTTGTAAGGTAGAATTGGGATCATGGTAGTGGGCAGGGAGGAGGCATTCAAGAATTAGAGGGAAGTTGTATGTTTCATCGTTGTTATACTGCACCCTGACCGGCTCATCTCCTTCCCATGACCCTTCTGTAAGGGGGTGGCCAGTTGCCTACAGATAGCCATTTGGGTCTCTACTCTGCACTCCCCCTCATTCACAATGATGTGATTTTTGTGCCTTGATGCTTGATACCTGATCCCTTTGACACCTCATGATGTTTTTCTTTTTCTTAAAATCAAGAGTGAGAATATACAATTTGCTTGTAAAGGACTGGTCCCGAGCCTGCTTTCCAGGATTTCAAGTTGAAAGTTGTGCTCTCTCGTAATATCATCTGTTGTCGGTGGGGCTCAGGAACTTTTGAGACAGAAGAACCAATCCTGTCCCTCCCAACACTTTAAAAATTATTAGAGAGCCATTTGTATATTTTTACAAGCAAATGAAATCAGAGTTTTATTTGCATCTTCAATTTTACTTCAGAGCCGACTGTGATTTGTGAGCCACAGTTCGCTGACCCGGGGGCTAGAGGGTTGCTAGGCCCTTGGTAAGGCCTCTGCTTTTGTCAGGTGACTTAGAGACTCTTCCTGCAGCTTTGTCAGACCCCTAGGGATTGGACATTCGTGCACCGACATGATGAAACCACTTCCTACGTCCTGTTTTCAAAAACCCAGTTTCAGGTTCGCCTTGAATTAGAGGGTTAAATATCACTTTGGAAAATGTTCTTTCAGAAAATATTTGTTAGGTAAGTTGAGTTTTCTTGCTGCACTCTCTGTATAAGATGTAAACTATGGGTGCTCCTGGTGGCTCGGGAGCGGAATGATTGCACCTTTGAGAAAACAGGCGGGCCTCGTTTCATTGCGCTTTGCTGGATAGCGCTGCACATAGATAGCGTGCTTCACAAGCTGAAGGTCTGTGTCAAGTCCATGCGAGCGAGTCGATCCGTGACGTTTTCCCAACAGGACGCTCACTTTGTGTCGCGGTGTCTGTTTTGGTGGCTTTGACATCACTTTAAACTTTTTCATGGATCCTAGACTACCCGTCGCTATCTCGTCGATTCTGACGGCAACCCTGTATAGCATTCCTGAGGCTGTCAATCTTTCCCAGAGCAGACAGCCTCAGCTTTCTCCCTCAGAGTAGCTGGGGGATTTGAACCACTGACCTTTCCGCTAGCAGTCCATTGCTTACCCGACAGTGTTACGAGGGCTCCTGAGAATACACTGCAAAAAACAAAACCCAAACCCCCTCACTGTCGTTGACTCGATGCCAACTCATAGCGACCCCGTAGGGCCATGTAGTTGCCCCTGTGGGATTCTGAGACTGTAACTCGTTATGGGAGTAGAAAGCCAAGACTTTCTCCTGCAGAGCAGCTGGTGGTTTCAAACTGCTGACTTTGCAGTTAGCAGCCCAACACTTCACCAGTTCAGCAGCAGGCTTCTGCAGGTACTACAATAAAGCGTAGACAGAACTTAGATGCACTGGAAAGCCCCAAAATCCACATGACTCACTTCATCATGATACTTGCTTCAAATTGCTTTATTATGAATAATAAAAAAATCATGAATTATAGAAAATGAATTTATAACTTCATTTTAGATTCCTTTTTGCTGGTGGTCAGTAACCGTGCCCACAGTCTCTCCAGGGTATGTTTGTGTTAAGATTCCATGAAGGAGGTGAAACACTAACACGCCTCCCCTATGAACTTTGTCCGCAGAAGGCAAATTGCAAGGACCTTTCTGATTGGCCACAGGTAGTCTCCCAGGGCGGGTCATGCTGGTTGTGGAGACGCGTGCCGGGTGACTGTGTCCGTTCTTTTCAGCCCTGCTTCTCTCTGAGAAGACGGCAAAAGAAGGATCTTCAGGAGCCGCCCGCGATTTGCCCAGGTAGCCCCATCACAGTCAGCAGCTTGGGAGAAACGCCTCAGGTGTCTGAGCATAAACCACTGCAAACAGCTTGTGATGTAAAGCCAACCAGGTAAGTTACACGAACAGGTGGTTCGTTTTAAAAAACAAAAACCAAACTCACTGCCATTGGGTCGATGCTGACTCATAACAAGCCTTTAAAACAGGCTAGCACTATGCCTGTGAGTTTCCAGACTGTAACTCTTTACAGGAATAGAAAGCCTCTTCTTTCTCACACACAGTGGCTGGTAGTTTCAAACTGCTGATCTTGCAGTTCGTAGCCCAGTGCATAACCACTGTGCCACCTGGGATCCGTTTGCTTTTATAAGAATTCCAAAATTATTTGAATGTTTTTTAATAAAAAAGATGACATCTTCCAACCTCATTATGAGTTACACATTTACTCTGCTTATTTAAACGAGACCCGGTTGTGGACAACTTCGCATGATAAACTAATAGTTATGGGGAAGGGGAGAAAAACACTTCCATCATTCCTCACTCATGATCTACATGAAAGCCTCAGGTGCCCATTTCCTTATGATAGTTCTTTTATAATACGCATTAGGAAATAGGTTTTCAGCACCTTTTCTATAATAACCTGGGATATATTTCAATGCAAGTAACACACGCCTATCGCAACATCGTTGGATGTAGTCGAGTTAGTTCCAAATCAGAGTCCTCCGTGCAACAGAATGAATCACTACCTAGTCCTGAGCCCTCTGCTGCAGCCATTGTGTCCGTCCTTCTCCTTAAGAGGCTTCCTCTTTTTCCTGGTCTTCCCCTTTCCCAAGCATGATTTCCTCTTCCAGGGACTCGTCTCTTCTGATAGCAAGCCCAAAGTGCCTGAGACCAAGTCTCACCGTCCTCCTTGGAAGGGGGGCGTCTGGTTGTCGTTTGTCCCGGACAGATTTGTTTGCTCTTTTGTCGGTCCATGTACTCTCAGTCTCCGTTGCCCACCCCATAATGTATACGTCCAGGTCTGACGCATTTCACTATGATACCTTTGTTTTGTCTTCTCAAGCCATCCTTTGAAATCTTCTGGTCAACTCTTTTGCTTCATCATTTCTTCCTTTCATTTTAGGCTTATCTACATTCTAGAGCAATTTTCAGAGTCTCTTTTGACATCCTTTTGATCTTTTTTTTTCTTTATTTATTATTTTTAAAAATCATTTTATTGAGGGCTCATACAACTCTTATCACAATCCATACATACAGCCATTGTCTCAACTACATTTGTACCTATGTTGCCATCATCATTTTCAGAGCATTTTCTTTCTACTTGAGCCCTTGGTATCAGCTCCTCATTTTTCCCCCTCCCTCCCATCTCTCATGAGCCCTTGATAATTTACAAATTATTATTATTTTTTCATGTCTTGCACTGTCAGATGGCTCCCCCCACACCCTTGTCTGTTGTCCATCCCCCTGGGAGGGGGTTATAGTTAGGTCATTGTGATCGGTTCCCCCTTTCTTCTCCTCCCCACCTTCCCCTTCCCCTCCTGGTATGGCTACTCTCAATACTGGTCCCGAGGAGTTTATCTGTCCTATATTCCCCTGTGTTTCCAGCTCTTATCTGTACCCATTTACCTGCTCTGGTCTAGCCAGATTTGTAAAGTAGAATTAGGATCATGATAGTGTGGGGAGGAAGCATTAAAGAAGCAGAGGAAAACTGTATGTTTCATCACTGCACCCTGACTGGTCCATCTTCTCCCCACAACCCTTCTGTAAGGGGATGTCCAATTGCTTACAGATTGGCTTTGGGCCTCCACTCCACACTCCCCCCACCTCATTCACATTATGATTTTTTTGCTCTGAGTCTTTGATGCCTGATACCTGAATCCATCGTCGTCTTTTCTTTTTTGTGTGATTTTAATAACCTTTTGCTTTCTATGAGTTTGATGTTCTTGATGCCATCCCACCACTTGATTGGTTTTCGGTCATGTAGACTTTCAAACTTGAGACGGTCTCTGAATTCAGGTGGGGTATATTGGAGACCGTCATTTGGCCTCATGCACAGGATTGAATTTTCTTCAGCTGCCACTTGAACCTGCACATAAGCAATTGGTGATCTGGCCATCTTTTGACTAATGATATTGAGCTTCTCCACTGTCTCTTGCCACAGATGTACTCAGTTTAACCCTGTGTATTACATTTCACGAGGTACACATGTGTAGTTGCTATTTATGTTATTGAAAAAAGATATTTTAGTACAAAGAAAAAGAAAATATTCTAGAATTGAGTGTGGTGATGATTGTACAACTCTTCTTGATATGCTGGAATCTTGTGGATGAAGTACTAATAGCATTATCTAAGAACAAGGAAAAGAAAAATATTTGCAACAACTAGGTTATTGGTCTTGCAGAATTCTGCATTGTAGCCGCGGACAGTTTTCTGTCATCAAGGCTATATGCCCCAGCTCAGCTGCTGAACCTTCTTCTTTGTTTCCAGCTTTTATATTCCAATCACCGGTGATTGTCAGTGCCTCTACATTGCATAATTAATCCATTTCAGACTGCGGGAGTTGGTGGGAATCTTCACTTTCTTCATCTTGGGCATTAGTGATTTACCTTCAGACTGGTCGTGATTAATTCAAAGAAGCTTTAGAGTATCCACTTTTAAATGGTGAAGGACTCTAGGAAGGAGGCCAGTTGAATTGGGTTTTTATTTCTGAGAGCCTATATCCTTCTGCCTGCCCTGCATTGCCTAATTGCATGGTATCTCTTAGGCTTAGACCAGTATTGCCGATATCTCCTGATACTTTACAATGAGCAGAGATCAAATGCTGCTGAATCTTCTGATTATGAGATTTAAAATTAAGGATCTAAAGGAACCCGGAATTTGTTTCCAAACATTTGCTAAGTTGTGACTAGACCATATGAGGAAAAAATTTAAACTTTTCTTTAGCAAGGATATATATAGTTTTGACATAAGAACCCCAGGATTGATGAACCTATAGAGATAGCAAGTAGAATAAGGTTTGAGGGGAGGGGGTACAGTGATGGAGGAGGGGTGAGGAGGAGACGATGTCAGAGTCCATGTAGAAAAAGAATGCTTGGAAACTGTGGTAACAATTGTTCAATTCTGCTTGATGTAATTGAACTATGGAATGATATGTATATTAATCAAAATAAATTTAAAAACAAAAATAAAGTTGATTCTACGTTGGGGGAAAAAGGGATTTATAGGTGGTTGGCATCTAGCTTTGTAAAAGGGAATTTGGTTCGGCGGCCGTTTTGTCTCAGTAGCTATTAGAAGTTGGGTTGTCTTTATCACCTCTTGTCAAAGTGTCTAGTTCCTTCTCCCTCATTAAAAAAAAAAAAAAAGACTGGAAAAGAATCCTTGTCTAGAGAGAAAGGCCCTGCTTTAGAAGGTCTCTGCTCTACACGTTCTCCTTCTCAACCTGGCAAGGGAGGTTTCAGAAAGAATGAGTTGTCTCATCCAACTGGCTGAAAGTTTAAGACCAGCTTTAACAAAATCCATTTCACTGAGAATGACAACGTGGTGATTTGAATCTAATTCTGTGATTTCTTATACATAAATTAGCTGGAATTCTTAAAATTGTCTTCACCATTAAGCATTCAGTGACCCTAAAATATTACTTACACAGGAGAAGTAGGTGAAAGCTTCACACTGTAACTTTTGGGCTGCATTGGGAACCCCTTCAGGTTGGCTTCTGGGTCCTTTTGGCAGCAGCTCCTTTTGGATTGTAAATGTCAGACTGAAGAAGAGCAGGAGGACACGTCAAAAGTTTTGGGGGGAATGGGTCCCCCACACCCAAGCTTTTCGTTTTGTTTGTTTGTCAGTAAGGGGTCCAGGTGGCACACACTGACCAAGTCAGTTCCGTTTGACTTCCTCCTTTCGCAGCCACTCAGCTCGGTGTTTACATCTGATGGGCACCACGTCTGGGGGGCTCTGAAGGCTGGGACCCTTGTCCTCTCCTTTTACTTATTTATTTGAAATTTTAACTTTATTATCATTTAAAATGTATTTATAATAAATATGCTCCCCTTTTGTTTGTGGAATATAATACGTACAAAGAAACATGCGCTCTATGGTTTGGGGGTTTTGTTTTACTGTTCCCAGCCTCCTTCCCTCCTTAATATCCTGTTCTTTCCCTCTCTCTCCCTGCCCCCTCACTCTATCCTTTGGTTTAAAAATTCTCTTTCTTTTTTCCTTTGTAATAATTTTCAGCAAGCTTTTTGAAGCCCCCTCTTACACATACTGAAAGGTGACCCTCTCATATGTGAACACCTCCACGAATTTTCCTAAGCCGAGCATCCTTGGATAGTCAGCATCCAAACCAATAAGCGAACACCCTGGAAGCACCGCTGCCCTGTTAGTTGTTGATCCTGCGTCTTGTACAACCGCATTTCCTGAGTTCATCTTGTACATTTCGTACCCTTAGAATGAGCCATTGCAAGATCTTGTTCCTTAAGAGTGTAAATGAACTTTTGAGAACATGACCTGCACGTCAGGGCGACTCCTTTCAATAGCTTGTCAGTGTGTCCAGGCTTTTTCAGGAGACATATTTTTGAAAAGAAAGAAAATTATGATTTCTCAAGTTAACATGATAAAATTTTAACTTAATCTTTGATTCTGCATTTATATCTTTTTATTCTACACTGAAAGATCCCAGTTCAAACTCTAATGATAATCTTATTGGCTTTAGCCTACAATAAGTACATAATCACTCCATCGTGACCATTATTAATTTTTGTTCTGTTCGTATGCAGGGGCCCTTACCTGGTAAGAAGTTAACTACCAGATTCACATTTTATTATTATGACTGGATTTCCAAATTTTAGGCAGGAGGTCAAAAGGAGAATTTTCCCCTGAATTCTATTTTTAGTGTTAATGCTCCTATCTTTCTTGGCAGTGAGATTCAGTCTGTTCAGTCTTCAGCTTACCAGGTAATTTGAGTTCTTTATTTGCAACTCCTTGCATCATGAGCAGGCCGTGTTCCAGGAGTGACCGTGGGTTGCTGTTCTCTCTGGACAGCGTGTGCTGCACGGGATGCACCTTCCCTTCCTGATAGCTCAGGCCCGGGAGCAGAAGGATGAAGGCTCTAAATGAGCA